AGTAGTAGTAGTAGTAGTAGTAGTAGTAGTAGTAGTAGTAGTAGTAGTAGTAGTAGTAGTAGTAGTAGTAGTAGTAGTAGTAGTAGTAGTAGTAGTAGTAGTAGTAGTAGTAGTAGTAGTAGTAGTAGTAGTAGTAGTAGTAGTAATACTAATAGTGTGGTTTAGTAGTAGGAGGAGGGGGAGGAGGGGGAGGAGGAGGGAAGAAACAGGGGAAACGGGAGGAGGAGTTTTTGTACCCCGAGGCCCTTCTAGCTGGGGTGCCTGTCATCACCAGCGGCATCCAGCTGTTGGACCAGCGCTGGTGGGGCGGCCGGATGTCGGACCTCGGCTGCGGGTCGGCTGGTATCCCGTTTGCCAGGCTGCTGAGGAGGGGGAAGTCGAGCAAATCAATTATTTTGGAGCAGCTGGATTTCGCCTTGGACCGCAGGAGTGGGGGCAACGGCTCCTTGACTTGGCATCAGAAGGTGCAGCAGGTGAAGCAGCAGATCACTCCACCTGCGGACGATCCTGACGGGGTCATGGCCAACGCGCGGGCTGTCTACCTAGCTGGCACCGAGCGGTCTGCACACATTGTGGGCGCATATGAGAGCGAGAGTACGAAGTCGTGCTGCGCCCAGGCGGAGTGCTGCTACAGGACTTTCAAGAAGTGCATGTTGCTGTGGGTGGTCCATGTGCCCATGGCGTTCGGCAGCGCGTGCTACCGCGCCTGCTCAAAGTGCTGCTGCTTGAGGAGAAGGATGAGCAGCGCTGGTGCCGCGGAAATCGGCTTCGTGCGCCCTCAGCCCATCGAGTCCGACACCGGCTCGGACTCGGGCCTGGACTCGGACACCTCGGACGGCTCCTCGCTTGCATGACCCGCGGCTGTCTCCTCGGGCGGGCCGCGTGGCCTGAGCCTGATACGTGCCAAGTCAGCATGCTTTCCAGTGAGTTCTGCAGGTCAGACCCTCAACGCGGCAGCATCAGCTCTCGTAGACAGGGTCTTCAAGTGACAGAGGACTACTTGGCCGTATGCCTACTTTCTTTGGCGCTGGCGCATGCTAATGATTACACATGCGTGGTGAATGCGTTGCTTCACGGCTGCCTTTCTGAGTTGTATCTTTGTTTGTTTGTCGTGGCCGCATTTGAACGTGGGCCCCTCCACCCCCCTTCACCCTACTCCAAACAATACTGAATGTTAGTTTGCACGTCTCCGCGCGACACGCTATCCGCGTCTGGGTCCCCAGGCGTCGACGTCTAGAACCTCTCCCATTCTCCCGTCTCGCGAAGCGGAGCGACACGCTATCCGCTCGCAGTGCATAGCATTTCGCCGGGGCCGACGCTAAGTTAGCTGGTGGTTAGTGCGACGGTTGTTATTGCTGTCTGCTTCCGCAGTTAGGAACTACCCAAACAGGCCTAACCGCCAATTCGTAATCTACATGATGGTTGGCGGGTTTTGCAGTCGGTCCACACAGGATCCCCGTCCCGCTAACCATCACTTGGGATTTCGAGATTGTGGTTTCGGTTTCATGTTCTGGTGATTCCAGCTGTGTGTTTGCATACTGGCTCGACCACCCATGCCCCAGCCACCACTCCGGAAATTCAAAGCGGAGTGCAGCACGAAGATCTGCTCGCGAGGCACGCCGCCTCTCGATCTGCAGCATTCTCTTTCGGGCGCCGCTCGGTGGACTGCACGCTCCTGCCCCCGGGGATCAGAGCGAGGCCGACCCCGAGAGAGCGCCGCCGCGCCGCGCCGTGAGACCTTGGCCCCGGGCTCTCCGGCCCATGGGGCGGGAGGGCCGGCCGTCCACGGCGGGGGCAGGGCTTCGGGCTGCGCGCAGGCCGGCCCCCCCCCCGGGTACTCCCGGCGGGCCTCAAGAGGCCCCCCCGAGCAGTCCCAGCGGGCCTCAGCAGGCCTCCCGAGTATAGCCCAGGGCGGTCTCAAGAGCCCAGCCCTCGGTGGGCGGCGCGCCCCAGAGGGGCGCCGCCAGGGGCGGCGCCGGGTGCGGAGACCGCCCTGCGCTGCTCGCGGGGCCTGTTGAGGCCGCCTGGGACTACCTGGAGGGGCACTCGGCGCGCAACCCGAAGCCAGGCGTCGACTTCAACGGTGTTTTGGCAAATTCGTGGCCCGTTTTCGTTTCGACGTCGTCGTGCAACAAGGGCGGATCGGAGACACCACGAGGGAAGACGACGACGAAACGAAAACGGGAAACACTGTTTTGGTGGAGCCCTGCCCGAAGCTGTCCCATCCATGGGGGGGGGGAGGTGGATCGGCCGACGCCGCCTCCGCCTCCGCCTCCGCCTCCTCCTCCTACTCCTACTCCTCCTCCTCTGCTTCCTCCTCCTCCTCCTCCTCCTCCTCCTCCTCCTCCTCCCTCTCCTTCTCCTCCTCCTCCTCCTCCTTCTCCTACTCCTACTCCTCCTCCTTATCTTCCTCCTCCTCCCCCTCCTCCATCCACGGGCTGGGGGGGAGGTGGATCGGCTGTGTCTGCGGCGCCGATCCGCCGATCCTGGGCCCCCGGGGGCCCAGGATCTCGCCGCGTGCCTCTGGCCTGGCCAGGAGGGTGTCCTTGCGCTCCTCCCGGGCCCCCTGGGCGGGCCCGGCCCTTGGCATCCCTCGGACGTGTGCGCGTTTTCTTCGGCGAGGGCCATCGAGGAGCAAGCTGGATCACCTGGCGAAAAGATCGACGCACGATTTCGAAGCATGCGCGCGGCCTGGACGTCCGAGCGATGGCGAGGGCCCGGACTGGTGGGGTGGATGGCTCTCGTCGCGCGGGGAGGGGGTGGCGCGAGGGGGTACGTCGGGAGCCGCCTTCCCAGAAGCACCGCGGGCCTTCTTCGGTGGGTCAGTGGCCCGCACCCCTCGCGCCGCCTCTTCTCTTGTGCGCGCTGGCAAGCTTGGCGGCTCGTCCAGCGGAGGAGGAGGAGAGGGAGGAGGAGGAGGAGGAGGAGGAGGAGGAGGAGGAGGAGGAGGAGGAGGAGGAGGAGGAGGAGGAGGAGTCTGCCGCCCGATTTCCACTCGGGGCGCCCCGCTTCGACCACGCCGTCCATTCGGATCTGCTGCAGCGCGTCCCTGTCTGGACTCTGGGGAGGGCAGACGTGTATCAATGACATGCCGCCGTTGCGAGCCCGTCAGCTTGCTACTCCTGCTCTGCTTCTCCGAAGGCACAGTGCTCCCTCAACAGTGGCATGCTGATGGATTCCCCACGGTGGCGTCTCGTCGATGTCGTTGCTGCTCCCCTGCTTCCCTGGGGCCCGACTCTGCGGATAGCATCAGCATCGTAGAAGATCACGACCGGAGCCCTGGACCCCAGTTATCTGCGGCATTCTTCGGCCCGGATCGATCCACGAGGCTCCCAGGGCTTGAGACGAAGCAGGGGCGCCCGCTGCGAACACACTGCGACGCAACGTTCTCTCAGGGCCTGTGCCAGCGCGGGCCTCCAGGCCACGCCAGGGTCCGCACCAGGACTCGCTCCCCCCCCCCCCCCAGTCGGGCGAGTGGTAATGGGGGGGTGGCCTCCAGGGGAGGGCGAAGGAAAAGGCCCCAAAGGTCCCCTGTCCTTCACCTCCCCCCTTTGCTCGGCGCAGAAGGATGGGGTCGCCTTCTCTCATCGGCATCGGCGCGCATCAGCTGCCCGCGTCAGGCCGCGTGCAAGCGCCCTTGTTCCCCATGTAGCCTGCCGCGTTGACGGCCAGCGTGGGCCACCGCACGAGGTCGCCAGGCCATCTTGCGTAAGACCTCTTTCTTCTCGTCGCTTGTGCAGGTCACCCCCCAGTGCCACCGCCCGGCCTGGCCACTTCTGGGCACCATCCCGGCCGCCAGCTCCCCGAGGCGCGCCCGAGGCGTGGCGACGATCACCCGCCCAACGAGGGCGCAGGGCACGAGGTGGAGGAAGGAGGAGGAGGCGGAGGAGAAGGAGGCAGAAGAAAAAGAAAAAGGAGGAAGACTTTTCGAGATGAAGGGAGGAGAAGGAGGAGAAGGAGGAGGATGATGATGATGAGAAGGAGGAGGAGGAAGAGGAGGAGGTGGAGGAGGAGGACGAGGAGGAGGAGGTGGAGGAGGAGGAGGAGGAGAGGGAGGAGGAGGACGAGGAGAAGGAGGACGAGGAGGAGGAGGCGGACGAGGAGGAGGAGGAGGCGGAGGAAGAGGAGGAGGAGGAGGGAGAGGGGGAGGGGGAGGAGGTGGAATACCACTACTGATAACAAATCATGCGAATAGTGATACTAAAGCATGAATGCTATGAATACAAAGACGGCGCACGATACTACACGTACTACTCAGGATCAGAGGAAGAAACACCATCACACGAATGACATTAGCAATACTTCTTACGAACATTGTTACCCATACTGCCAATATTAATACAAGTTACGACGAATGGTTATATTTAGAAGAAGAAGAAGAAGAATAAGAAGAACAAGGATCACAGCAACACTAGGCAGACTACTAACCATATTAAGAATATGTTTACTATTATTGATCAAACCCATGCAGAAGACGAATACTTCGAACATGAAGAAGGAAGAGGAGGAGGACGATGACTTTTCGAGATGGATGGAGACAGGGGAGGAGGAATACGACAACTAAGTATGAGGACTTGTCGAGATGGAGGGAGGAGGAGGAGGAGGAAGAGGAGGAAGAGGAGTGAGGAGAAGGAGGACGAGGAGGAGGAGGAGGGGGAGGAGGAGGTAGAGGAGGAGGAGGCGGAGGAGGAGGCGGAATAGTAATGAGAACAAGGAGGAGGAGGAGGCAGATGAGAAGGACTTTTGAACATAGATGGAGGAGGAGGAGGAGGCGGAGGAGGAGGAGGCGGAGGAGCAGGAGGAGGACGATGACGAGGAGGAGGAGGGAGAGGAGGAGGAGGATAAGGAGAAGGAGAAGAGGAACAGGAGGAGGCATAGGAGACGGAGGAGGAGGAGGAGGAGGGAGCGGAAAAGGAGGATGAGGAGTAGGAGGAGGAAGAGGAGGAGGAGTAGGAGTAGGAGGAGGGAGGAGGAGGAGGAGGAGAGGAGGAGGAGGATGGGGGGGAGAGGGAGGAGAAGGAGGGAGAAAGAACAAGACGAGGAGGATGCGGAGGAGGAAGATGAGGAGGAGGAGGAAGAGGAGGAGGAAGAAGAAGGGCGACATGTATGAATTCCCGAGATAGATGGAGGACGAGGACAAGGAGGAGGAAAGGGAGGATGAGGAAGAGGAGGAGGAGAAGGATAGTGAGGAGGGGAGGAGGGAGGAGGAGGAAGAGGAGGAGGATGGAGGAGAGATGGAAGAGAGGAGGAGGAGGAATGACGAGGCAGGAGGAGGAGGCGGAGGAGATGGAGGAGGAGAAGAGGAGAAGGAGGGGAGGAGGAGGAACAGGAGGAGGAGGGGGAGCATGCCCTGAGCTGCACTGGAGGAGGGGGAAGGAGGCGCAGAATCCATCTCCTCTGCCGATGGAGCTTCCTGGGGTAGTACATTGCCAGCCACCTTCCCCCACGACCACTTCTTCGTCCAGAACCGTTGGGAGCCCGAGCTTGAAGAATAACCTCAGGACCCGCTTGCTTCAGCGATCATCGAGGCAGTTTTTTCGCAGCTATCCTGTGGTGAGGGGTCCACGTTCTGAATCAGCAGTGCCCCGCGTCTCTCCTCTCCCTCTCCTCTCCTCTCCTCTCCTCTCCCTCTTCTCTCTCTCCTCTTCTCCTCTCCGTCTCCTCTCCTCTCCCTCTCCTCTCCTCTCCTCTCCTCTCCGTCTCCTCTCCTCTCCTCTCCTCGCCTCGCCTCTTCCCCTCTCCTCTCCCTCCCCTCCCTCTCCTCTCCTCTCCTCTCCTCTCCTCTCCTCTCCTCTCCTCTCCTCCTCCTCATCCTCCTCTCCTCTCCTCTCCTCTCCTCTCCTCTTCCCTTCCTCTTCCTCGCCTCGCCTCGCCTCGCCTCTCCTCTCCTCTCCTCTCCTCTCCTCTCCTCTCCTCTCCTCTCCTCTCCTCCTTCCTCTCTTCTCAATCCTCCGTGCCTCTGCCTTCCGCACGTTTCTGCTTCGGTCTACGCCTCACACGTTGCGTGGGCTCATAGGAGCTCCAGGGACGGCCAAACTGGCAGGTTTCGTATGCCTGGCCATGTAAATCCTGGTACACCTCTTACACGCTCCGTGGCAACATGAGAGTTCCAGAGGAGGCCTAAATGAGCGGATTCGTATGACTGACCACGCCCATTCTGGCGCACCCCTCACATGTTTCGTGGCCCCATAAAAGGGGGATCCACAGCCAGGCCCTAATGGTAGGGCTCGTGTGCTCGACCACGCCCGTTTTGGCACGCCAGTCACAAGTTTCGTGGCCACGTCGGAGCTCCCCGGAAGGCCTAGATGGCAGGGCCCGCACGCCTGGCCACGCACGCTGGCACACCCCTCACGCGTGTCGCTGCCCCAAAGGAGCTTCACAACAGGAAAATCTAATGGCAGGGCTAGTGTGCCTGACCACACCCATTCTAGCACACCGCTCACGCGCTTCGTGGGCCCATCAGCGCCCCACATACAGGCACACATGGCAGGGATCGTATGCGTGACCACGCCCATTCTGGCACACCTCGCACACGTTTCGCAGTCCCGTTAAGGGGATCCACAAAAGGCTCCAGTGGCAGCGTTGGCATGTGGACTCGGGTCCATTTCGGCACACATCTCGCATGTTTCGTGGCCCCAGCCGCAGCGCTCGCGTGCAAGACCACGCCCATTCTGGCACACCTCCCTTACGTTTCGTGGCCCCACAGGGAGCTCCACCGAAGGCGCCAGAGGCAGCGCCCGCGAGCGGAATCGGGCCCATCTTGGCACACCCTCTCGCACATTTCGGGTCTCATAGGGAGCTCCATCGAAGACCCCAGCGGCAGCACCCGCATGCGAACCGGGGTCTCTTTCGGCACACCCCTCACACGCTTCGAGCTCGACCGAAGGACCTAGTGACAGCGCCCGCGCATTCGGACTCGGGTCTATTTTTGCGCACCTCTCACGTACTTCGTGGCCCCACGGGGACCTCGACCGAAGGCCCAAATGGCAGCGCCCGCATGTCTCGAAATGCATCCAGTTCGTGGCTCGCTGCCTCTCAGGGGACGCCACATCGTATGCCACTCG